TCATTTTTCCTTCATCTTCGGCCATGGCTCCCACTTGAATCTGACTTCCTCTAGATTGTTTCACGCTTTGATACCAGTTGTTGGGAATTTACCCGTCGGGGCTACGCAAAACCCCTAAGACAGCAGAAACGCAGAATAGAAAAAGTACACCAAGATTTAACGAGGTTCGACAACTGCCTACGTCCTCGGGAGCCACACAGTAAATTTCTTATTATTCTAACAAGAAATTACAATTCAAGAGCGAATCTTAAACTTGAGATTCCTTAATAAATACAATCTTCACTGTAGCTATAGTAAAGATTTCCCTCTTCTTTAATACCCCTCTCAATTTTCACCATAATAAATTTCCTCCTTTTAAATTCCTTTCCCAATCACGTGAGAACATGAGAACAGAGAGAGAAAGAGAGAGAGAGAGATCGCTGGAGAGGATGAGCCGCCGCCTAGGGTTTAGATCGCGAGAGAGAGAGGGGGGAGAAAAAGCACTGGGGCTAGGGCACAGGGTTTCCCTTTTATAGGGAAACCCTAGGATAGCTGTCGACAGGCTATCGTCGCCTATCAACGATCTCGCCTGCGATGAGCTCAAGCTCGCCTGTCACTTGTCGAACTCGCCTGCAAGAAGATCTCCAATCTCGCCTGCAACTTGTCGCGAGCCCGCCTGGAGTTCGCCAACTCTACCTCGCCTGCTCGAGCTCGTCCAACTTCGCCTGAAGCTTATCGCCTTCAAATCTCGCCTGTTGGTCTCCTCGAGCTCGCCTGACGATCATCCCCCAAAGCTCGCCTGCGAAGGTGAGTTTGGTCTACACCCAAACTAACAACAAGGTATGTATACTGGGCATTTTCATGAACCTACAATTATTTTGGAGGCTATAGCTAGCAAAGATCTGGCATGCCTTCTTTGGACTGCCGGGGTCTCACAATGACCTCAATGCTCTACAATGTTCACCGGTTTTCGTACAACTTGCGGAGGGAAGAGCTTCACCGTGCAAGTATATTGTTAATGGCCATGAGTACAATATGAGATACTATCTCGCTGACGGGATTTACCCAGAGTGGTCCATATTAGTGAAGACTATTCCAGCACCACGAGGAAACAAGCATAAGTACTTTGCTCTACAACAAGAGAGCGCAAGAAAAGATGTTGAGCGAGCTTTTGGCGTGTTGCAAGCTCGATTTGCGATTGTTCGTGGACCAGGACGTTTCTGGCAACCTAGTGTGTTGAAAGACATCATGACAGCTTGCATCATAATGCATAACATGATCGTTGAAGATGAACGAGATTGTCAATTGGACAACTACTTCGACTTTAATGATTCGATACCAGTCGTTGAACCTTCTCATGTGCGGACGGTGCCTCTAACTGAGTTCATCCAAAATCATCATCGGATCAGGAACACGCAAACACACAAATCACTAAAGAATAATTTGATCGAGCATCTGTGGTAGCTCAAGGGATCCATCACCGAGGATTAAGTTTCTTTATGTCTAATGTAATTTCAGCAAAGAAGTTCGAGTTATTGTACTACGCCAATTTCCTTTTCAATAAAGTAGTTGTTTTCATTAAATGCCAAATTTAACAAAATCAAGTAGAATCATAAATCTAATATTTTCAATAAAGTAGTTGTTTTCATTAAATGCCAAATTTAACAAAATCAAGTAGAATCATAAATCTAATACAAGATAATTAGGAAGAACTAATTAGGATTGCCAAATTTAACAAAATCAAGTAGAATCATAAATCTAATACAAGATAATTAGGAAGAACTAATTAGGAGGCGATGCGAGTACAATCATAAATCTAATACAATATAATATATGATAATTAGGAAGAACCCTTAGACATCCACGTCTTCAATATCTCTGCCTGACGCATTTCAAAGTATTGTCGTTGAATTGAATTGAGTGTTGAGAGATCCATCTTCATGATATTGTATCGTCATCTTGTTTCTTCTGTTTTAGCTCTATTTTTGATTGGTGGTTTGCTTCATCCACCCGAAAGCCTCTCCCATGATGGACTTAGCGGACTCAGAGTTTTCCACATTTTGTTTTCTCTTGAGCTTTGCTGCTTTCCTCCCTTCAGGCCTTACTATAACATCGTCCGAGTCAGTGTTCAACTCGATGGGGGCTGCTGACATGGAATTGTTTGGTGAGGAATCAAAGTTTTTGGTTCTTCTCGGCTGTGATCGAATCTTATTGTAAGTTTCCATTTGTTGGATCCACTTTTGATGATGACGCAACTCAACCCAGCAATGGTCAAATACGAATGGTTTACCATAAAGAGATTGGTATAATTCTTTTACTTCTGCAGTCTACACAAGAGTTAAATTTAGAATAATCAAACATAATTAAACATATATATTCCTCTCTTCAATGCTATGTTGTTTACATAAAAACATATAAGTTAAATATTTACCTGGTCAATAATTCCCGTACCAGATATTTGTCTTCCTTCAATCTGAGCAACACACACGCAGAACTTATTGACGGACAGTTGAATCGTTGACCAATGATGCATCATTTGGTTTGGTGTGAGGCTTGTTGGATCGGTGGAGTATTGGATAAAGTAGTCGTTAGCTCTGTACCAAAACTTATCTTTGTGTTGCCCCGTACCTTGGATGGCGTCTTGGTTCGTGTTCAGCCAAGCAGACACAAAAAGCTTATCCTCGTGGACAGTCCAATTTTCGGACCGCGTGTAAGCCTTCTTCTTCTTTGTGGTCGATGTTTCTTGGGATGACACTTGTTGTGTTGCCGATTGCGAGAACTCGATGGGGTGACCTTCTTCTACGACGTCTGTATAGAACGGCGTGTATAAGGTCGATCCTTCACCGTTAAGGAGTTGCGAATAAAAGTTTTGGGAGAGATCCATGAGATTTGTAATTTGATAAGAAAATATAGAGTTTTTTATGAGAGAATTGTGTGGAATGATTTGTGTAGTGAATTGAGAATTTATAGAATTTTTTACTGTGCAACGGCTAATTTTTTTACTGTTCAACGACTAATTTTTAATCTCAACGGCTAATTTTTAAACACCTAATTCGAAACTGGGTTCTGGGTTTTGATATATGGTTTTTTTGTAAAAAACAATTTTTTTAATACTTGCTTGGGAGCTCCGTGCCACGCCAGCCCAAAGCAGCTCCTATGGAGCTTGCTGGAGAGAGTTCACGAGCTCCCACCGCCACGTAGGACTTGAGAGCAGGCGGTGGGAGGTTGATGGACTTGCTCTTAGCCCACACATACAATGTCTCGAAGACAGATGTTATAGCCCACACATTTTAATCTACTCAGCCAACATACTTTTATTAGCCCATACACATGTTATAGCCTACATTTATATTAGCTCACAGAAATATATATCCAGGTTCCATATTGATCTGGTCTATATTAATACTATCCCGCCTACACTTATATTCGCATACATTCGAGCCCACAATTAAAAGCTGATAGCGTAGTAAATGGATTATGCCCTGCCCAAATAGCTTCGTTGCCCTCAGACCCTATAGAATCACCCAATTTGCGAATAGGCCCCATGTAGTTCTATTTGTGCGAATAGACCCGTATGAATTTTTTAACTCTTAAAATTATAAAAAAGGATTTTGAGGATGAGGACAGACTCTCTATAGTTTAATTGGTGAGAATAAACCGCCATTTGCTTTTTTTTTTTTACTTTTAAACCCAAGCTTTTAACCCTATTTATAATGGTGAAAATAAAAAATATAGTTAGTTATATTTTCCTAAGATATTATAAGGGAAACAGCCTCCATTAGAACTCATAAAGGCACATTGATGAATAGAAAATTCCAGTCAAATTTTTTATCACCTACAATTGGGTAAAACTGATCCAAATGCATCACGTGATAACAATGTGATTTAAATTTAATGAAAAATCTAATATAATTTGGACGATGTATAATAGAGAAATGTGATTAAAACTTTAGGGAATCAAAGTGTTAAAAAAATACTTTGGTATATGAAAGTGAAAATGGATTGGAAGTTTAGGGTATCAAAGTGTACTTTGAGGCATCAAAACGAAATGCAGGCAAACTTTTGGGTACCAAGTTAGAAAACTAGTTTGAGGCTTCAAAATGAAATGTGGGCTAACTTTGGGGTACCAAAGTGTAAATAAGTTACTTTGACATTAGTCCCTTAAGTCTTTCATATTTCAAAACTAGTCCCATCAAATCACTAAAATTGCGATTAGGTCTTTTAAAATTACTCCCTTGAATTATTGGAATTCCTATTGGATCTCTAGATCTTTAAGTTACTTTAATATTACTGTTAGCCGAAAATGTTGACAAATTAAAAAGGGGTGGGCCCCACAAACCAAAAGAGACGTTTGCCTAAATTTAGGAACTGTCTCAGAGCAAAATTTTAGGCAGAGGTTGAAGAAAATAAAGTGACAGGCCCCACCACACTAAAATATAATATAAAAGTAGTGCATAGTATTTTTCCAGCCAGTATAAATAAGCATAAAACTCTTCAGAAAAAATCATCCCAGAAACAACTCCTCATATAGAAGAGTGAAAGAGAAAACATAGAGAGAGTTTGTCAGAATTCTTGGAGAATATCTTAATCAAGAGAGGGTTTTCTCTTTGATCTTTTCTTTATAACCTCGAAAAGGAATATAAAGGAATTAGGCGTCGTCGTTACACTGTGGAGTAGCTCCGTAAGAGTTAACTACGTTATATCTGTGAGTATTATGATTGAATTTGTATCTGTTGATTTTATTTTGTGATTCCATATTTATTTGGGTGTGTATTGCGTCTCTGTTCGAGACATTCTTGTTAGCGTATATTCTAACAAGTTGGTATCAGAGCCTGACTTAGAGTACATATATCTGCTCATCGTATGCTCAGTGATTGCTACTAAAGTGGATTCACATCAGAAAATAAGTTAGATTATCATTTACTCTTTAAAGGCATTGTGAACTATTCACAAGTATGGCACTATTCATAAATACTATTACTATTCACAAATATGGTTCAGAAAAAGATGAAATCTTTCACCACGGGATCTACAGTTGAAGACAATAGGTTTCGGATTGAGAAGTTCGGCTGCCAAAATTTTAGGTATTGGATGATGCAAATAGAATACTATTTGTACCAGAAGGATCTCTTTCTACCCCTCTAAGGAGTGAAGGGGAAACCTGAGAAGATGAACGACGATAAGTGAAAGATGCTCGATCGTAAAGCACTTGCACCCATCAGGCTCAACCTTCACTAGTATGTGACTTACAACATCTCGCATATGACCACCACCAAGGAGTTGATTAAGATCTTAGAGGCACTGTATGAGATGTCGTCTGCTTCAAATAAGGTGTACCTGATGAAGAAGCTATTCAATCTAAAGATACAACATGGAGCTCGCGTGATAGACTTCTTGAACAAATTTCAGGCTGTGGTGCAACAACTTGCTACAGTGGATCTTAAGTTCGACAATGGAATCAAGCTCTTCTGCTACTTTCTTGTCTACCAGATTCGTGGGAGAATTTGGTGATGGCGGTGAGCAACGCCAATGGCTATGACAAGATAAAGCTCGAGACAGTGATTGGGAAAATTCTAGATGAAGAATCTCGTCGCAAAGTCTCAGGAGCTGAGGCCTTTAGCAATGGGAGTGCTCTACATGTCGAGGCATGAGGACGTGCACAGAAGAAGGGTAGGGGACGATGAGGCTGATCAAAGTCCAGAGGGAAGTCTAAAGGCTCGGTCCGAAAAGTTACGGTGAAGGGAAGTGCTATAGATGTAGAAAGAAGGGTCACATTGCACGGAATTGCAAATCTTCTATTCCAGTATCAGCAGGGAATGATCAGGCTGACGGTGCAACCAATCTCATGCATGAGATAGATTCGGATGTGCTTCTTCTATCTCTTGAAGACGAGCGATGTGTGGGTCATCGACTCTAGCGTATTTTTTCATGCAACCTCACAACAAAAGCTGCTTTCATGATTCATAAAAAGGACTTGGGGACAGTCTATGTTGGCAACGATCAACCTTGCAAGATTTTCAGGAAGAGAAATTGTACCTTCAAGATGGAGGGCGAGACCATCTTGACGCTGAACAACGTTCAGCATGTACCAGTTCTTAGGCGAAATCTTATATCAATCGGGCAACTAACTGACTCTGGTTACAGAGTATCCTTAGAGTAGGGAAGCTGGAAGGTGTCCAATGTTAGACCCTAGAGGGGGGGGGGGGGGTTAGGGTCTTATGCTAATCTAATCCTAATTTAAAAGCTAATTAAAATTGTGTTGATCAATTTGATCTTGCAAGAAGAAATATGATATGGATATGAACAATAAAGATGAATAAAAATACGCTAAGCAATACACAAACACACGATATGTTTACGAGGTTCGGTCACCACGACCTACGTCCCCGCTCCTCACCTCGAGGAGATATCCACTATCACAATCCGGTTTGGAAGCCAGAACTTCTACACACTCGGTTTACAAGATCACCGAAAACTCTCACACTACACAAAAACACTATGTAATCACACTTTACACACTAAGTGTAGGAACCTAGCCCGTGTCCTCCTCCTCAAGTGCTCGATTACAACCTCTCCCTAGGTTCGTCAATCGACGCCACTCCTATTGGATTTGACCCCGTGTCTCGCCTCACACTTCTCTCGGTGTACAAGTGTATTACAAGTGATTCTCACAAATAAAAGTTAAATACAATGATTTGTTCTCAATTAACAAGTGAGAACACAATGAAGCTCACACTCACTAAATCCCACACCACAACCCACAATATAATATGAGAATATAAAGCTCAATAAGTGTGTGTGATAATAGTGAATGAAACTCAATAAATATAACTCAATGAATATAGCTTAATCAATTGAAAGTGAAATAACAAGCTATATAAGAATGGGTTTAGAAAACTTCTCAATGAATAAGAAGAGCTGAGGAAATGATGATCTCAATAAGATTTGAAAGCCTCTTCTTGTTGTAGAAAAACTTCTCTTGAAAACTGATTAACGAAACCAACTCTTAAACAGCTCTTAAACGAGATTAACAACTTGTTAAATAGCAAACTTGGATTTCTTGATGCATAGAGAAGAAGAGCAGCAATGGGGTATATATAGCACCCCATTGCAACAGCTAAAAATAAGAAAAAGACCAAAAAACCATTTTGAAAAAACTAGCCGTGGGGTTGTTTTGAAAATTCATTAAAAATATCAAATCAAATCCAAAAATAGTGAAACTTTGGGGAAAGTTTCTAAATGATGAAATAAATATGTTTGAAAAGGAATTTTTGGAAAATCAATTTTCGTTTGTAAAAACTCCCTGTTTTTGAAAAGTGTTCAGAAAACCTATTTTTCATGAACATGAAAATTGACATAGAGCTTGTAAACATGTATATATATATTGTGCATGTATTATATGTATATAATGAAGTACGAAAGAGCTGTAAACATGAGATAAAGATTATTGTAACAACGTTTGATGAAAAATCATTTATATGATAGAAAAACGTCAAAAAACGTGTTAAGTGTACATATATTGAGCTTAGATATAATCATACAATATATGTAAGTAAACTAAACATATACCTAGGTAAATCCACACATATGAACTTGAATCTTTAACGCTTGACTGAAGTGTGTTGAAATACCTGAAAAAAGAAACATAAACACAAAACACTAGAGAACTTATTAGTAATAAATTGTTTGCCAAATCATCATCAAAACTATAGGGTCAACATCCAAAGGTGTCCTGGTGGTACACAACAAACGCGGGGGGTCTCTCTACATCACCAATGGGAAGATCGACCGCTTGATTGCTACAGGATAAGCATCATCATCATCCGCTGACTACATGACTTGGCATCGGTGACTTGGCCACATGAGCGAGAAGGGGGTGCAGATTATGGCTGTGGGAGAGAGGCTTCTAGGTGTGAGCAAGATCGATCTGACTTTCTGTGAGGACTACATCCTAGGTAAACAGAAGAAGGTGAGCTTCAATAAGACCGGACTGGCTCCAAAACTGTAAAAATTAGAGTTGGTGAACACCGACGTGTGGGGACTTACACAAGTCCCATATGTTGGCAACTCTCTTTACTTTGTCTCTTTTATTGATGATGCTATTAGAAAACTATGGGTGTTCTTCTTGAAGCACAAGTCAGATATTTTCATCATCTTCAAGAAGTGGCTTGCCTGTGTGGAGAACGAAACATACAATAAGCTGAAGTGTCTAAAGTCTGATAATGGAGGCGAGTATTGCAGCTAGGAGTTCGAGAACTTCTGCTCATCCTATGGGATTAAGAGACTGAAGACCGTTCCAGGCACACCTCAGCACAACGAAGTGACGGAGCGTATGAATCATACTATCTTGGAGTGCGCCAGAAGTATGAGGATCCACTCTAAATTGCCCAAGAGTTTTTGCGCCGATGCTGTGAATACTACTGTATACTTGATCATATGCGGGTCATCCACGGCTCTCAGTTATGGGATACCTGAAGAGGCTTGGACCAGAAAGAAGCTGAAGCTAGAGCACTTACGAGTATTTGGTTGTGATGCCTATGTCATGACCTATCTTGTAGACTGGTCAAAGCTTGATTCAAAGTCAAAGAAGTTCTCTTTAATCTTCTATGGAGGAGATGAGTATGTGTACCATTTCTGGGATCATGATGCGGGCAGGGTGGTACCTAGTCGTGATATCGTGTTCCATGAGGATGTAGTGTACAAGACCAAAGAGGTGAGTGGGAGTCAGTTATCTCACCCTCTTTTCCTAGATATTACTGACAGTGGGGATGACAGTAAGATACCAGTCAGCATAGAAGATGGAGACTAAGAGAACATGTAGGATGCACAGCAGTATGATCCAGCAAAGCTGCCGATCGTAGTTCGTAAATCTCCAAGAAACCCGAGGGTGCCAGAGAGGTACCTTTCCACCATGAATTATCTTCTCCTGACTGACAGCGATGATCCAGAGAGCTATGAGGAGGTACAGCAGACTGGCAAAGCGTGGGGCGAGTGGGAGTCTGCCATGGAGGAAGAAATAAAATCATTGACGAAGAATGGGACTTGGGAGCTCGTAAATCTTCCAAGAGGGTGAAAGACTCTTCACAATCGGTGGATTTATCGGGTCAAGGATGAAGCCGATGGACGGAGATGCTACAAGACGAGGCTTGTAGTGAAGGGCTATGAGCAGAAAGTAATGATAGACTATTCTGACGTTTTCGCTCCCGTCATCAAGTTGACCATGATCCGGTCTGTGCTGAGCATTGTGGAAGTTCGAGATCTCCATCTAGAGCAGATGGATGTGAAGACGACATTCCTTCATGAAAATTTGGAGGAAGAAATCTATATGCATCAACCAGTGGGCCTTGAGGAACGAGGCAGGGAGGGCCTCGTGTGTCGCCTGGGCAAGAGTTTGTATGGTCTGAAGCAAGCTCCACGACAGTGGTACATGGAATTCGAGAGCTTTATAGAGGAAAACAATTTTCTCAAATACGACACAGACCACTGCTGCTTCATCAAGAGATATAGTGAATCCTATGTGATGCTCTTGATTTATATTGATGACATATTGATTGTTGGACCCGACTTGGCCTGCATTGAAGAACTCAAGGGGCGTCTCTCCGAGTGCTTCAAGATGAAGGATCTGGGTCCAGCAAATCATATTCTTGGGATGAGGATCATCAAAGACAGATCAGCACGGAAGCTAAAGCTATCTCAGAAGGCCTATATTGAGAAGATTCTTGAAAAGTTTGGCATGGAAAAAGCTAAACCGGTGGGCTCACCGTTTGCGAGGCATTTCAAGCTATCAAAGACCCAAGCACTAGAGACTGCTAAAGAGCATGAGTTCATGGCCAACATACCATACGCATCTTCTGTCGGGAGTCTGATGTATGCGATGGTGTGCATGATGCCAGATATTGCACAAGGAGTGAGAGTTGTGAGCTGCTTCATGAGCAATCTAGGGAAGCATCATTAGGGTGCGGTCAAGTGGCTTCTACGCCGGGGACATAGACTCAAGAAGGAGCACGAGCAGCTACATCTTCATCTTGA